ATTGCTATGGGCAGTTAGTGAAAGAAAGAGAGATAAATGTAGGAAAATATGTTATTAAATTTTAAAAGAAACATTATTTATAATTCTACGCGTATCGACATTCTTGAATGAATGTTATATAGGCCAGTTAAAAAAGGTATTTTTAATACCGTAAAGTTTATTATGATATACACTAAACTTTATATTTATATTGCACTTTATAATAACAGTTTGCTTAATATGGTGCTAATACTTTGAACTATTCATTTTTTCTATTAAAATATTATTATAAAATTTCGTAATCAAATTTTATATCTAATTGAAAAAATTCATTCAATGATTTTTTATATGTCTGCTTTACATTTTATGTCTTAATATATTTTTAAATTCATCCAGATCCTAAGGAGACTCAAGTAAATTAACGACTCTATCTAATCATTGTCCCTATATTTTGTCAAGTAGTTGCGAATCACAAAAGATCAAGGGTTTTATTCGATGAGCTGTTGTAATAATTTCGTGTTTATTAGGAGCATTTTTGTGCACCTTCACAATAACCTATTGATTTTCAATCTCTATACAAACACAAGGAAATATCCACTTGGTTTTAAAGGTTATCTGCTTATCTGAGTTAGTAGAAGAATCACCATGTCTTACACTTGAATCAGCAAATAATATATTGACTGTAGTATTGCTTTGATTTCTCCATTGAAAGTTGAACTTCCTACTTCTGTTCCAGGTGAGTATCTGTTCCAGGATTCAAGTCCAATAAAGTACAAAGAGAATGAATTGGTTGGATCAAATATGAATTTTAATGGTTAAAATCAGTTATTTTGGGCAATTAATTTTTCTCTTTACACACTATCAAAGTATGACTAGCCATTGTGGATAATTCCTCTATAGCGTATAAAGATAATGTTCCTATTTGGTTTTGAAGGGATTTAATTTCTCGTGAGATTTGAAAGAAAGCTCCTAAAACAGATTAAGCTACCATCGAAACTTTCCTATATTTTGTAGGAGTAGATTCGTGTAATATAGATCCTATTTCAATCAAATCTGTATCATATCCGATAACACTTGTTTCTTCAGCAATAAAGAATCCTTGATCTGTTTTGTCTGATTATAAATCGTCAATTAATTGTAAAGCAGGTGATTTTTTGAGTGGGAAATACATAGTATTGCTTATTCAAGATAAAACTATTTTAATTTGGTGAAATTTTTATCTCGATTTTTTATATAATATTGTATAAATAATATGAATGAAATTTAGATTAGTAATTTTTATATTGTGTATCTGAATTTGTATTTTGAAATAACTATAGAATTTTTTTTGTATTACACCAATATTAAACATGGTTTAAATATTTGTACCTAATTAAAATATTTGAGAAAAGAAAACTCAATGGAAAAGGTGTTCATATTTATCATATGTTTAAGTACTCACCATTTTGGTTACGAAGTGCCTTTGCATATGTCACCATTATAACACGAATAATATTGAATGTTACTTCTAAACTGCTGTGAAGCAAATTGTAAGATTTTATTTCCAGTGCCACTTCTAAATGTTTAATGGAACTGAATTGAATCACGTTCTTAATTATTGTTACAAGAAATTGCACTATTTTTTCACAATCGAAAACAAATTTTAACCGTAGAAAACATTCAATTTGAAGGATCGAACATTGTTCGTGCAAAAAAGGGCGCGATATTTTAACGTACTGACTTCAGCGCCATTCGTAGTGTGCGTGATCAGTCGATAATATCGAACAGATTTTAACAATAATTTATGAGAAATTTATAAGGTTGGACACCTTGTAATGTATTATGAAGAAAAATAAATAATCGATATTTACTAACTGTGACTCAAAACAAATACGAAGTATAGTGAGTTTTATATGTAATGTTGTTTTAAGTGAAATGTACAAATTTTTATTTGTGATTACGGTAACAAATATATGCGAACAAATTTCATTATTGATAAATTTGTTTCAAATAAGAAGGAATTTTATTTAATTACATTAGAAAAGGTAAAACTTATAATTTAAATGTATTGATAATTTGTAAGCTTTAAGTCATCTTTAAGAGTGTCGAGTATATGTATATTTTTTGCATAATCGATAATCGAAAGATAATCGATACGCTTTACGACACATCAAATCATACGAAGTGTCTATCGTATGTATCGATTATATATAAACGTTTATTGCTTTGTGTATTTGTGACCGTGGTTGTGACATATTGATCCTCGGTACCGACTACAGCGATCCTCTATTTATCTCGGTCCCGTGCTGGCTTTCACGGCGCAGTTTGTGCGGACATATTTTCATTTGTTCTGTAGTTTGTCTTTCTGTTGGCTGACATTCTTTTCATGTACATTCACCGTGGTATAAACAGATGATAGTGTGTTTAGGTGGAGCCACAGAAAAATAGAAAGGTAAACTTTTACGAGTGAACTGGTTATGATAACCCAATTTCAAAATCGTTTATTTGTTCTGAGTGGAGTCTTATATCTTCATTTACCATTGTGGAACTATTGATCGAAGTTCGTTGAATTTCAGCCGAAACTTTGAGTTTCTAAGACATAATTTGAAGTAAAGTAAAAATCTAAATTTCTATTTTGATTATTTAGCCTTCAGGTTAGCATATTATTTTACGACGTGATTGATTGTAATCAAACACGTATATGCAAATTTTAATGCAAATGTAAATACTGTTTGCGAGAAGCTGAATTTCCAATGATTGATACATTAAAAACTTAGAAATGAAATCAACAGAATGCAAATTTCTAAGAGATGATTTTAATCTCGATTCGGTAACCAAAATAACGACATTATCGACTGTTTGGAGTAAAAGCTTTTCTTCGGTTAGGTTATTTTACTCTCTTACTAAAAATCACTTTACGAGATGGGAAAAATAGGAAAACAATATTAATCTAATAGTTTTCCAGTTAGCAAATGTATACCAGTTTCATCTAACTTGATTATTCCTACGATATAATTACTTTAACGTGATTGGCAAGGTTTTTCGCGTAGATGCACGTACTTGGTTCTGGCAGACAGCCTGTCAGACTAATTCCCAGTTATCGATTCCACGCATACGTGGAAACGCACCGTTGTGTTGCATTCATAGGGTGGGTGAACTGTGTCTTTCTTACACGCCACTTTACCCAAAATATGTTACAAGAAATAACTATTCCTATTATAATTCCACGTTTTGCCAACTTTTATTGCAAAAATTTACCGATCCAAGCTGTGAAGATTATCCACTGAAAATAAATCCATTTAAACAATTAGGTAACCGATTACACTTCAAATTATTTTGACGTGGTTGTAATATAAATCTAAAAATTCAACTTTCTCTTTCAGAAACAAATCCAATTTAAATCCAATATTAATTCATCTCCAAATAAAATTCCACACGAATATGACTAATTATCAAAACTTATCTATATAGTAAGTTCATATATAATACATTTACTTGTATAAAGTATACATAACCTCTAAAAATTTTTAGAGTTTAAACAAACAAAATTAACGATATTTATCTTTATGAATACATTCTGTTGTAATGTGTTTAGGTACATGGAATTTGACCCGTTTTTGGAACTCTCCTGGATAGAACAGTTTTAAGCAACAGTACAACTGTCCTCAATAGCGCGTTCCTCGCACGGCCATCGAAGAATTCGCGATTCCGACGTCGCGGCCAAATTTCGGGGATCGTCCTTGTACGTCGACGACGATCTACCCCCCGGCTATGCACGTACCAGGGTCGTATTATACACACGATACACCTATAATTGCACGTAGGGCAGCTTCGTCGTAACGCTTCGTGGATCGATAGCTGGGAAATGGCCGGAAGCCAAGTCCGACGACGTCGTTTCGAGTTTTGCCGTTGTCACCGTATGGGACCTAACCCCTTTCTTGAATGTCCCACTTGTATCGGCCACCCCCCAACGTGGAGCCCCTTCTTATTGCTTTCTCGTTTCTTTCTTACGCGTGAAACTCCTCTCCCCTCGTTCTTTCGTGTGGTCCCTTCAATTTCGGTGGAAGGGTCAGTACATTAAAGACTCTCGGTCCGTTCCAAAAATTGATTTGTAAAATAAGTCGCCGCCATTCTCGTTTCGTTGCAATACCTCCCAATTTGAAATTCCAAAACTAAAAATTCCCAAAAATATGGCTTTCCGAAATTGAACATTTCCAAAAATTTTAACTTTTGCATTTCTAGATTTTTCGAAAATCAATTTCGAAATTTAAAAAACTGGAATTCTTCCAGTTTAAAATTTTGGAATATTTTTAACGCGATTCTTTTTTCTGACTGAATTTAATAAGCACACCGGGAGCTTGTTACCAATTATGACAATCGAACGCGAGCTTAAGAGCCGCAGTTTTTTCACCTGCTCCCCCGAGAGCCCGTTGTTTGTCTTCCTTTATGCGTTCAATCATCGACGTTCGAATCGCGATCGGCACTGTGCAATAGGCGCAACGCGGGGTGCCGTTTATCCCAGTTTCTTTAAATCCTCAAGGGCAACAGTGGGGAAAACACCCCCCGGTGAAATAACGATATCGAAGTATTATGCCATATTTAACCAGTAGGGTGCACTGCTGAATAATACACGTATTGTATTTTTTTTCTTCTTTCCCCTTCGCTGCTTCCATTTATTTGCTTAATTACAAGGAAATTCTACCTTCCCAAAATCAAATCCAAACAAAGGAGAACATCTCCGTTGGCAAATTGCAATTGCTCTTAGAAACATTCCACAATTTCTTACAACATAATATAGAACTCGCAGAACACGTTCTCAACGTCCAAAGAAATATTGGAGACGTAAATGTGATCTAATCAAATTTGAACTTCTTCCAGGAAGGATCTACTCAGCTCGTGAGAAGCAATTTTTAAAGTACATTAACCGCTAGGAACTAACTACCGAAACGAAATTCATACATAAATCGACGCCTTCGTGACAATATTCCCTGGCAACACCATCGCTGAAGGAACTTCAAAGGTGAATGGGACTCGCGACGTGCAGTAGCCATGGGCAGTGTCGAAAACATCAAAGGCGCCGTGAGAAAGGCGACGGCTGGCCGCACGAACGAAAAAAGAAAGGTGGATCGTGGCGCGTGCCACGCGAAGGGTGACCACACCGAGGCTCCTTTTTATTTTGCGGAAGATCGTCCACGTATTCCTTTCACCATGGACAATAGGGTCGTGCCCGAAGGACGTATCAGCTCTCAGCCAAGGGCAATGGGCATCGTAAATGATCCATGGAAAGCAGCTGCGTACGTCTTTCCACGAACTTTCTTCCTCTAACGTGCGAATCCGAACATGCATCCTGACGATCATGCATTATGCTCAGAAGACACGGATTCATTCGTAAATCAGGAAATTTGCCTTTGTATGTACTATTTCATGCCACGAATTGTCTACCGAACCGACTCTCACGGGGAAAATTTCTTTCAGAAACGCCGGCTTGCGAGTGAACGAAGAAGGAGGAGCAGAGGACCATAAACGAGGCTCTAACCCCTAATCGCAGGCATCCATCATTGCAAACGACGTATCAGTCGTGAACATGCGACGGAAAGAAATATGATTCAATTACTAAGGACGCTAACCCCATTTACCATCCCTGGAAGAGGATCTTAATCAAACTTCAACGAACCACCCTTCAAGTTTGAATGCTAATTAGCCACGAACGCGAGTGGTAATTAACGCAAAAGAGGACCATCGCAGTGGCTGGTCTACGAGTCAAGCGCGTGAATGTTGCAACACCATAGAAGCTCCGACACAAAGGCCTCGGGGAGCCGCAACAACAAGTTGCAACCACCTGGCGAGGGCGATGCCGGCCACCCAGTGGCCTCCAGGTGCTCCCGAAACCCCCTGTCTCGTCCCGCATGCCTGCTGCCGACGCGGACGTCGTCGTTCATGGAAAAGGAACGACGCCCGACCGATCCCGTGTAAGAGACGCCATGCAACATCTCCCCGTACGTCCCTGTGCAACGGGGGGCAACGGTATCGTTCTGGAACACGCGCGAATCAACGCTCCAAAATCGATACGTACATCTGCCGCAACGTAGAGTCTATTGACTCCTCTGCCTGGCTGCTCGGAGCATCTCCAAGGCGACTCAGGATGGAACGCGCGGCGTGTCCCGCTTTCCACGGAAATCTCGCGGGAGACGGCTCTCGTGATACTGGCGACTCTCTGGTTTATTAGTACCATTGTGGGGCCGGGTGCCGGGCTAGTCTGGAAGCGTAGCAGACTTTTTTCGCGTCGCCGATTTAGGACAAGGGAATACTAGAGCAAAATGTCTGGAAACTGAGACGCCTTTGGGTTGCTCCACCTTCAGGTCCCGATTATGTAACGCTGTTCCTCCTATTGCGTCAGATGAAGAGAAAATTTGTTACGGCCATGCAATTCACGATGACCGAAATTGATTATTTCCCCGAACTCCAAGACGTATGATACGCAATGTTGGGAACGATCGGCAATATGACGGGCCATTTAAATTGGACACCTCTATGCTTCGGACTCGGCTGGTTGCATCATTTTATTTCGTTGATGGAGCCATTTTGTGGAGACTTGGATGCACCGTTCGTAATATACAACCCGACAAAGGGGCGTTTCACTTGTTCCGGATACCGTGTGCCAACTTTTGAAAAAATGGGCGAAAGCTTGCGGTAAATTTTATGGATCGCGATCAACTTCGGCCCACAAATTACAGCGCACCGCAATAACAACTTTATTATACGCGCAAACAAGTCATAAAGTTTTACAACTTGTCCGGTAATAAAACATCGGGTCAATTGCCACTTTGCTATTTTGTTTAAATTTTAAACGTCAAACGAATCCTCGCAGTGGCCAGAACCTTAGGGAATTCAAAGCATGAGACTGGCTTAAAAATTTCAATCAGCATCTTTGAAGGAAAGGAATAATTTTGAGTGGCTTACTACCAAAAGCAATTCCACTCGAATCTCGTACTCAATGTTAAATATTCGACGAACGTCATCCCCCGGAATAAGCGAACTTAACAAAACGCCAATTCCAGCGCAATTCTCTGATCGATGCAGGCTATTAGTTTCCGCGATCGATCCGTGTCACACGACACCGCCGTTCATGGTATACCATTCATGCAAACCGCTGTAAAAAGAGAATACGTATCCGTTGGTGGACGAAGAGCTAGCCCCGTGCACGTACTACGAAACGGTGGAAACCATCACACCTACTCACCCTCGGAGCCTCTAACCGAGCGACGAAAAAGCGAGACAAAGCGAGTAGCGGGGAAGAGGAGAAATAACGAAAGGAAGACGCACGTAACCAAGCGAGAAGGATGAAAGAGGGAAAGAGCGTAGTGAAGGAGTAAAAGAGGAAGAGAGAAAGATAGAGGGAGAGGGTGCGAGTGTAGCAGCGCTTGGTTGATGGCACAGGTCGACAACGGGGGGTGGTTTGGAGACGTCGCGTTGCGGGGCATCGATTTCGGGCCAGGCCGATGGCATCGGCGGGGTATCGAGGGGCGTCCCGACGTACTGGCGGAGCGCGTCGCGGCGCTGCTGCTGCTGCCTGTTACCCGAAAGCGAGCGGCCGACAGAGCCGCTTCGCCTCTCCGTTCGCAGCCTTCGAACTACCACCGCGTCCTCTCCTACCTCCGGCTCCGTCCTGCTCTGTCTATCCACGGAGGCAGAGACACGGCGAGTGGCGCGCGCGCGAAAGCCGCCTGCGCGCGAGTCCGACGTGTGCGGAGAGCGTTGCGGGCCGCACGAGCTCGCCACGGACGTAGCCGAACCGCTTAGCAGTCGCGCGACCAGAGACCACCGCGTCGTGGTGCTGCCAGCCTCGAGTGCCTAGCCTGCCTTAGAGAGCGAGACTGCCTCTACTGGCTGGCACTGACGTTGCCGCACGACACGACACGACACGGCACGACACGCGGGACCCGGCCCGTGTCCAGCGGGTCAGTACACGACGAAGAGTCCGCGAGGACGGATCAGCCATTGCGTTTTGGTCTGCCGTTTGGATCGTCTCGGTTCGGGTTGCGAGAGAAATACGTAGATGAGGCGGAAGGGTATCTCGGAGGCACACGTAGAAGGGGGATATAGCTTACGTTTCCGGTTGATTCGGTAATTCGGTTAAGTATCGGCCCCAGTGAAGACGTCGCGAGACAGACGGAAGCGGAGTACATAGACGACTAGCAGTAGTCCGGGACGTGACTGCGTTTCGTAGACGAATGCGTGGTGTAGCCGGATGCGCCGGTGCACCACCAGCTGCAGCTGCCAGTGCCGCTACTACCGCCACTGCTACCAGCACCGCCGGTGCTGCTACTGCCGCTGCTGCTGCCGCCGCCGTCGTCGCCGCTGTCTCGCTGGTGCTGCTGCCGCTGGCAGAGGCTCGCAGAGGTGTCCACCTCGTGGCAGTCGACACTTCCTGCCGGACGGTGGTAGTGTCCAGGCGCGCTGGACACACGACGAGCCGCAGCCGGTCGCCGCTGCTGCTGCCGCTGTTCATCGAGCGTAAGGATTAAGACGTGGAGCCGGCCGTGGAACAGGAGACGGAGGAAGAAGGAAAGAAAGAAAGAAAGGAAGGAGGGAATGAAGAAGGTGTGAGACGGTGGTGGGTGACACACGACTGTGCTGTGACTACGACTTCACGAATACGACGGCTACGACGGTTACGACGGGGACGCTTTCCGTCATATTTTCGTCGGTACGAGAGCAACGAGAGGCCGGGGCTCTTTACCTTCGGTACGTCGAGGAGAATTCGCGTGGGCAAGGAGAAAAAGGAAAATAAAGGAAAAAAAGGGTTCGACCACCGGGAGAAGGAGCAACGAGTGCGACGAACCCTTTCGCTACTCCCTTACACGCACGGGGCCGCACACTCGTGCACGTACACCGCGAGAGCCGCGACGTGTCGCCGGTAATATAGCGTGTACGCTTTCGTTTAGAGGGTTTCTTCCCTCCGACGTCGACGCGCGTAGGAGTGCCGGATCGCACGCGGTGCCTCCTCTTCACCGAGTCGAGTTCCGTCGGGGTGATTCCGCCGTGTCTGCGCGAGCCTTTCGCCATCCTTTCGTCCTCTCTCCCGCGGTCCTCGCGCCGCCATGTGAACGGTCTCAGAACGGCAGAGCGAGAATGAAAACAGCAGAGATTCATTCCAACACCGATAAATTTACCGAACCACCTGTATAAACATAGTCTAGCCTGCAAAAATATCCGACAGGCAACCGAGTCCAGTGTGGAAAAGCGAACGCGCCGCAACGAGCCGGAAGGAAACAATAACGGGAAAGCGAGTTTAGATAACGTTGTACCAGAAACGACAAGGAACAACAGGAAACGGGATCACGAGTTGGTGGTTGGTGCCGGGTGTGCTGGTGGTGTCGGTTCGGCTCGAGCCAGGTCGTGGTGATGCCTCGCAGCAGCGGATCCTTGAGATCGCTGGGTGTCGTAGGTAAGGACGCCGTTGGTGCTCGCGGAGCCGCAGTCCCGGTTGCGTACGGCGTCGTTGCGACGAGGACACGCTGACGAGTGCAGCCCCCGGTGGCACGGCAGTGGTCGCTCCTGCAGGCCATGTATTACGGTCCGGCAATCGACCGTACCGGCAGCAGCTGCAGTGCCAGCGACCTTCAGCAGCCGCGATCACCACGGCCACGACGACGGAGACGCGTTGCCGCGACGCCCGGCGTCGCGGACGACGCCGACACCGAGGAGGAACTCTTATATCAGCCGGAGGAACCAGCTTACGTGGTCCTCGATGTTCAGTCCAACGAGAAACACGGCCACAGGCTCGGCTGTCACGCCGCCCCGAGGCCAGGCAGAAGACGAACTGGCGGAAACGCGATTAGGATACTGCTGCTCGCCACTGCCGCTGCCTTCCTCGCACTCGCCGTCTCTCCTGGTAAGTCTCCCGTTCATCTTCGCTACTTAAAGGGTGTGGAGTAGGTTAGAACGCTCGGAGAACGGCTATAGCCTCTGCGGAATCAATCCTCGCTCAAGGCCGCTCCCCCCACCACCCAGCGATCCCCACTTTCGCGAGCTTCGTGGGTGTAGGTTCACCACGTTGGCCGTTTCCTATCTTTCTGCCTATCTTTCGTGCGAAATTCTTTTTACCACTGAAAATTTCATAGGAAACCTTCTACGTTTTCAATATACGCGTCTCTAATACTCGTCGCTTCGAGACACGTTTCCCCAATTTAGAACGGAGTGTTCCAATTTTCGCGAATAACTCGATTCTAGTCGCGAAACGATGGATGATACTCGTATGTACTACTCTGACATGAGAACATACTGATTGTTCTAATCGTATGCTCCGTACGGGAGCGCCGGTGGGCCTCGTGGGACTTTGGTGTCGCCTTTGGGGGACGAAGATCGACGGGGTATCGGGCCGACGAGTCATCTCTGGTGAGGCGTTGTCGAAAAGCGCGAGGCACGCTGTTCGCCTGGTCGAAACACGAAAAGTAAACAGCACGGGCTGTGTTCGCCGGGAAAATAAGAGAAATATTCACGGCATGTTGGCGCCTGCAACGTGTCCACTCGAGCATGCAGATACGTGTATTATTAAAATGCTGCTGCTCCGTTTCGCGATTCGTTACGCGCCACCCTCCCCGTCTCTTCGCTCTTTTTCCTCTTCCCTCTTCCATCTACGCCCCCCGTCCCGTTTTAGACGAGGCGCGCGGAAAAAATCGCGGAAAATTAAGGGAGATTAATCGAGAGAGAGAAAGAAAGAGAGGGAGAAAAAGGATAGACAGGGCAGAAGCTAGGTGTGCATTCAGCGCTTTTTAGGTCGACTTTTTCTTCGGAGAATAGTCAAGTGGCGAGTGGTGACAGTAACCATGTGACGCATTGCGTCAAAATCCGCTGTCGAGGAAACTGTTGCACGAGATCCGACCTGCTCGTTACTCTTCGCCATTTTCCCGGAACCAAATGATCAGGCGAAGGGCTCTCAGTCTGCTCTCTCGGTAACTCCTCTTTCGATGAAATCTTGTCGACCGTGCATGAAAATTCAATCAAAATGTGGAACGTCAAAGTAGGAACTAGGTATAGGTCTATCTACCGGAGAAATATTCTTACAAGCAGCCGATTTTTCGATGACCCTAGTTAGCTACCGTCGAACGAATTGTCGCTGATGAAGGTAACAGATGTCTGACCATCTGAAAAATATTCCTACAATCAGCCGATTCTTCGGTAACCCTAGTTAGCTATCATCCGACGAACTGTCGTTGATGAAGGTAACAGTTGCCCCTCTGATCACTCGAGAGTCTGTCAATCCTCTCGAAACGTTTGAATCCATCTGACTGGCCCATAGAGACCGGTGCTGGGAAACACAGCGGAACCACGTTTAGGCACACAGGGGCCATTGTATGGCGGTGCTGAATGCGACAAAAGACGTGGAAGAACGGCATTTTCCGTGGAAAGCGTTTGCGTCGGCCACCTCCACTGTTTTCCTCGGCTCCCTCTCATTCTCTCAGTCTTCGTGGCTGAGTCGTTCCGGTGGAAACGTGGCGTGTGGCCCGTAGACATCGGCGAGCCGCACCCACGCGCGCTATTTATCTCGTCGTCTGCCGAAGCCAAGTGCCAAGAGTGTATTTTTTCGCATACCACTGCTCCCCGCGGCATCTCCACCTCTTCATCCGTTGCTCCTCCATCCGTCTTCCTCCTATTCGTCTATCCTATCTATTTCTATCGCGATCGACCATGTACCTTTCCTCTTCCTTTTCTTCCTCTTCTTCTTCGTCTTCTTCTTCGTCTTCTTTTTCTTCTTCCTCTGCTTGTCCGTGTTGTCGTCGTGTTTTCCACGATTTACAAGGAAACGCGTGGAGAGAACGCGTGGTCCACAGAGACGAATCGTATCGAAGGAAACGGTGGTGGTGCCACTTCTTAAATTTAGATATCGTAGAGAGGAGCGACCTATCGCTGTCTTTCTCCCGTCCACGATCCTCGTGAAACGGATATAATAGATTTTCTGCGTCGTTTCTCGCGTCGTGCCCCGCCGTCACCTGGCTGCGATAAATTTTTGCTCGTTTTTTGGTGATACCGGCTTCGAGATCGGCCGTTCGAGACGCTAGGCTGCTGGGCCTGAGCGTCGGGGCTGCGTTCGATCGGAGACGTTGCGTTTGCGAATTATTCGGATTTTGGGGCCACGAGACGATGGGATGTCTACAGAAGTTTTACGTAATGCATCATTTTCTGCACGGCCTCTGATCGATAGCCACACTGTGGCGTGCGAAGTTTGCGAAGCTTTGGTGGGGATCCGGTCTATATGCACGAGGGGAACGTTCCTTGCCCGTGCTGTTTCGTCGTTTGCTCTCAGGTGGAATTAAGGGGGATGAAAATTCGAGACGCATGGATTTATTAAAGATTATAACGGGATTCGGGGCTTCTTAAATCTTCTTTCTTTTCGAAAGAACGCTGGATTAACTTTGCTTCTAGTGATTCCTTGTATCAACTCGACTTTTGAGTCTGTTAATTGAAAGTGGAGCTGGCAGATTGGTCAAAATGACTGGTTTCGGATATTTTATTTCTTTCGTGAAGTAGGTTGGCTTTGAAAGAATATTGATACTGATTTTTCATTATGGTGAGAAACGTATTTGTTTGTTATTGTCATTTACGTATATTTAAGGGATATTTATAATATCGCTGTAATCAAGTATGATAAAAGCACCAAAAATATGCTAGTGACTATTACCATATTTATTCCTAGGATCCTAGTATTCTTTAATTAACTTCATTCGATATAATATCTCTAATTACTGATCCAACATCTATAATATATATGGATAATAATAATTTCGTTTTTATTTCAACAAAAATTAGTGTATACTAATCTTGCCAAAAGCATTTGCACGTCTTCAATAATTAGAGAAGCAAGAAAAAAGTCGGCTATATCTGACTGCTCGTTAATTACGTTGATAAAAGGGTCTCTAGATTAGCTAACTTTCATCGACGCGAAAGACCGCAAAAAAATATGCAAAATTTAGCTAAAAGAAGTGTGCGGTGAGAACCGTGGCTAAAATTCCCTAGACGCCACCCGAGGTATAAATAGATGGCTCTCCCTTCATATCCGACATGTTTCTTATTAGCATTGCGCAATCGAAGCATTTGGATTATAAGCGGGGTTCCTTCCGTCTCATGGGCTCCCATGAGACAAACGCGGGTAAATGCGGACTTCTAAGAAAAACCCGGCACTTCTATGAGAGGCGGAACATTCGACGCTCGTAATTCTTTCTCACCGAGGGTGAGTCAGAGACCATCACCGTTCCCCTATCTTACGAGACACGAGCCGGTTTCCCGATTTTACTTTATCGTAAATTAGATCCTGCCCCTTCGACGATAGATCGATACGCGTGTCCCTGTATCCGCCTCTGGTAATTAACGCGTAATTCCTACGTCTGGATCACGCCAACTTGTCAACGCGTAATTCTCAATTTCGTGGTGGCACGATGGTGCGAGATAAAGGGTGGGATGTTTGCAGGAAAGAATTAATAATTCCTAGATTAACGTGTTGCCAACTACGCGATACCTGTAACACCTTCGACGATAATTCGATACTTATTCACCGAATGTCCCTATATCTAGTAACTAACCTAAAATTTTTTATTCGGAATTACGACAATTCGTAAACGTGTAATAATTATTCATCGAATGTCCCTATATCTAGTGACTAACCTAAAATTCTTTATTCGGAACTCCGACAATTCGTAAACGTGTAATAATTATTCATCGAATGTCCCTATATCTAGTGACTAACCTAAAATTCTTTATTCGGAATTCCGACAATTCGTAAACGTGTAATAATTATTCATCGAATGTCCCTATATCTAGTGACTAACCTAAAATTCTTTATTCCGAATTACGAGAATTTGCAAACGCGTAATTCTCAATTTCGCAGTGGCGATGTACTAAAGATAAAGGGTGGGATATTCGCGGAAAAGAATTACCAATTCGGCGATCAACGTGCTGCCAACTGCACAAATAACGCTTCATTGGATATTTGCGAGTAGCTTTCTAGGAAATACTGCGTTATTAGCGAACAACGCAAAATTAGGAAATCGGGATCATCGTGTCTATTCAAAAGTATTATAGCGCGGATGGAATGAGATGTTTATCGTCAATGGCAGCGACCAGTTGGCAATGACTTAATTTCTGCACCACGCGAGACAGAGAGTCGTCGAAGTTCTCGATTGTCGAGGTCGTTTAACTGTATCGATACATCTTACAGACATAGATAATTCGTTGGTTGCTTACCTCCAATGTTACATATAAAATCCGAGTGAAAATGACGATTTTCCACTAGCAATGTATATTTTCCCATGTCCATAGAAAATACGAGTGACAGCTCTCGATTCTCTCTCTCTCTCTCTCTTTCTCTCTCTAAAAATGCTCCACCTGCAGTTGTTTTGCAGCCATCGTTTTACCGTGGCCTCGATCTCGGCCAAAACTCGACGTGTTCAGGGAAATTCTGTTTCTCCACCAACAGACTCGATACTTTGTCCGAAATGTTCATAGTAAGTCGAAAAGAATTTTTTGAAGCTTCTTTATCCGGATAAAATAAAATAAAATTCACGATTGAACGCTTTCCAAAGTTATCTTAATCAGAACCCCTGCGATCCAACTTTTCTTCATCCCTTCATAATCAAAATTTGCTATCTTTCTTAGAAAATGAATTGCAAAATAAATTAGAATTCCTTGCTTCGTCCTGTGAAGTATTATAGAAAGAAATAATTTATACAAATAAATTATTACTATAATATTATCTACTATAATAATAATAATAGTAATAATGCTATAGTAATAAGATACAGTAGTATAGTGATAAATAAAAATGAAATAAAATTCGAAGAATATAGATATCTCTACATCCAACTTGTCAGTTGTATAAGGTCACAAAGGGTTAAGTCA